AGAATTTCTTACTCAACGCAGGTTTGTGGAGCGAAATACATGTGAGTGCATCTTCAAGGCAAAAAAGCAGATAATCAGTTCTTTTGGAGGTATGACACAGCTTGACTAATGCAGCTGTTTAACGTTTTTGGATGTGTGCCTACCTAAAAAAAATTCGGGAGCTAAGAAGTGCTTTAATCAGTAAAAACTCCAGGTGGACCTACAATTTTGGCCAGCCTTCAAGCCTGCTTTTTTCAAAATTTCTAATTTTTTCTTGAATAATCAAACGAAAACGAGAACCGTCTTAAAGACTGATAGTAGGCTGGTAAACACACGTCTCTACCAAATTTTGGAGAATTTCATTCATAACAGAGTGAGTTATGGCATTTTTTAGAGTGGACCTATAATAATTTTGGCCAGCACTGTATGCATGTACGTATGTTCCGAATAGAAATTCCATTTCTGAACCGATCCGGGCCACTTTGCACACATACACTTCGGGGCTGGACGTGTGTCGTAGCCTACTTTTCGTCATCGATCGATACCGATTTTTATCGATTTTTTGTAAAGTTTGACCTGCGGAGCTGGGAGTTTGCACAGGGAGGGGGGGGGGGGGGTAATCGAGGATGGTGATTACGAATACAATACTAGTATTTAGAATTATTAGTTTTACTAGTTTTATTAGGTTATCTCGAAAATTCTGTCCGTTTTTTTCATCGCTCGCTAAAGCTCACAGAACACCAGTCCAAGGACGAATTAATACCATTTGATTCAGATTTTTATCCTCTTTCTTAAGGCTATGTTTGCTCTCTGATCTACCCTGTCTTTGCAATGTTATTGCCATGGCAGCTCAGCAGTAACGAATTCATTTCCTGAATTCTAAAATTTTTTATACTGATGTTTTCAAAGAGCGCTAGCAACTATTATGTAGAGCAAAGTTTTGGCTACTTTGTACCCATTTTAGTTTACATGGGCCACGTTTACCAAATTCGTTATAACTATTTATTTGATAAAAACCGCGGCTTTTTGATTACGGTTATTACGTAAAAGTAGCAAAAATTTCAAAACGCTGCTTTTCTGAAGCAAATCAAATTTGGTTATGTGCATAAATGATGTTTGATAAGAATCACGTTTCAATCCGCAGAAACTGCAAAAGCTTTCGTGTATTTGCTGCCGTTGTTTCATGACTTTGCCAGTAATCGATACCTTCGAAGAAATAATTTTTTTAAACTAAAAACAGTAGATTAGAAGAACCGAAAAATATCACTTTGTAGTCCGAGAATAGCTCTATTTGATCCATACTTAAACCTTTCCGAAGCTTTAAAATCAAATTTTCAAAAATTTGCCTAACTTTAAGCAAACAAAATTGACGTGATTGACGTGTGGAGAATACCGGCAATTACCAAAAAAGCATACAAGATTGTGTCTCGAAATTGTACTCGTAGGAAAGAGAGGGAAAAGTTGAATCGAATGCATGCTGACGCTCATTCAGATCTTTAATGTGCGTGGTTTTATAATGGTTCAAGAAAACGGACAAAACTTTCGGGACAACCTAATAATTACTAGTTTTATCGACTTTATCGATTTTTTGCAAATTTTGAGCTACGGGGATGGGAGTTGGCACAAGGGCTAATCGAGCATGCTGATTACTAAAGCAGCGGGAATAGTGAATTGGCATGTAGACGTGGGCACAGGGAAAGGTTGTACGGGGATAGGGATGAGAGTTCCATAATGTATGACAGGGCCGGGCGGAGCCGGGTAAGCTAGCTAGTTATTATTATGCTGACGGATACCAAGATATTAGGTGCTTACACACACTAAAGCAACCCACAGAACGTAGCATCAGACTTGGAAACGCTGGATCTTCTAGAAAGCATCGCACTTTTAGACATCTCGTCTTTATGCGCAAGATTTCTTACGCTGCTTATACTACGATATCGTCTTACAAAAGATGTCTGTGGTATACTTAACCGTGCTTGGCCTTTCTTTGAAACACGGATGAGACAATAACGATGCTCGAAAGCGAAAAGCAAGGAGAAAATAGAAGAACATTAGCGCGCGTTGCTGCGGTACCAATTGTTGCCGTGTTAGGCTCAAACAAGATGCGGTCACTACACAGGTTAAACCGCCCGCATTTGTAGAGCAACCACACGATTAGATACCTGCCCAGCAGTGGCAGTCCTAGAATTTCTGTTCGGGAGGGAAAGACAAAAAAATTTCTGATTGAATGCCTGGTGCTAGCCACGCACTCTCAAATTTTTGATGCTTATCTGGAATTTTTGCAGTCATAATCCAAAATCAAAAATACAAAACCCCAAATTACACTTAATACAAAGTATTAGGTTGTTGCATAAGTTCTGCCCGATTTGAATTTTTTGAGTACAAAATGTCATAACTTCTTTCAAAGTCAACTTTTTTCCAAGATCTTAGTTTCCTTGTGTTGAGCAGTTCTTTGGCTATCAGATACATATTAGAACCTGCGAAAATCCTTGTTAAGGAAAAAGCAAAAACTTAAAAACTTCACTACGTTTTCCTTCAAACTTGTCTTTTTCGACATGACAGCGCTCCCTTATGAGAATTGGTAGGCATCTTATCTAACAATGGACAGATAGAGAAATTTTCGTAGATTATTTTGCAACATGAAGGAGCCCATAGGGTCTGCGTTGCCGAGAGATTTTTTTGACCGAATAAAAAGTTAGCCACTTTTTGACCTCGCTTCAGCGCATGCGTGCATGCCTATTTACGAGTTATGAAAATATTACAATTCACGTGAGCGCCGGAAAGGAATTGGTGGATGGGATCTGCTAGCTATTGCTTTGCCCTAGCACCTGCAACTTTAAACTCGTCGATTACTTCTATTCGCAGAAAATTATATCTTGTAAAACATCTATATAGAAAATTAATGTTCGACGACAAATTTCACTAGCAAGACGTTTTCTTCATGGAACCGAACAGACATGTATTAGCCTTCTACACCCTTATTCCGCAGCCAATGAAAGAACTTGACTTGAAGGTGTATTGTGAGGATTCCCCGCAAGAACATATTTTTAGGGTGAGAACGTATCTCGGCCACTTGGAGATTTTAAGCCTGAAATCTCCTTACACTAAGAAATTTATTGAAATTTGATATGCTTTAGAAAGCGCAAAAAAAGCACTTTCTAAATGTACTAAAAATACCGCATTAGAGACGAAATTCTTAAAACAGCTGCTTTAAACATGAGGCAAAAAAAAATAGGACAGAACTTATGCAAAAACCTGATACTACTACATCCTTGCTCACATTATGAATCCCACTTCAAATAACCTCCTCTGAAATTAAGTGCAACCCAAAATCTCGTGTGTCCCATTTTTCGCTTCTAATTTCTCAGACTAGAGAAGACCAATCAAATCACTTTTGTGAAATTTACGAGAATCAGACTATCGAATATACTTGTTTTTGCCGCCTTCCCTCGCGATTCACGCAGTAGCGCAGACTTAGCATGTTACCGTAACCCAATATTTTCGCGGTATTTTCCATTTGGATAGATAAGGAAAAACGACCTGTGAGAAACGAATTTGTATGAAATTCCTGCTATGTGGAGAGGAAGGTTTAACAGTAGCAACCATATAAAAAAGACAGAAATTTGGGTACTTTGAAGGTAAGTTAATGGGTGTGGCACAAGGGGTTGTGCCAATATTGGGAATCCTCAGAATTTGCTAAAACTTGGTCTATGGTGGTTATTTGACATGATAATTACAGTAGAGTAGATTTTCCGCTTAATATAGTGTGCTTGGACTGAGGGTGAAATGCGGTGAAATTTGCGCGTGAATAAATAGTCACGCCAGTACTGCCGGCATTTTGCGCGCGCAATTGGTCGGCGTCACAGTCGAAGCTATTTGTTCACGCGCAATCTACTCGACTGTACGATTATGTGCCTAATTATGCATGGTAGAGGCTGTGCCTACGGAAGGCAAACGATAATGCTGGTAGGGGGGGGGGGGGTATTGAGACAGAAGATAGTGTGGGGGGGGGGTCGTATCCGGCGCTTGTGTGCCACACCACTTGCTCGACCTGCCCAGTACTAATTCGCCAGTGTACAAGTCGTACTCTCGCAACATTTCATCCGCGCCGCGTGTGGTCCGCAGGGTTTGAGCAGTCCGTGCGGCGAACGAACCAACGATACATCACTTTCCGGATGGCGAGGTACAGTCATCATTTCTAGACTGATAAGGACTAAACTTTCTCAAGCATTTCGGGACTGTGTGGGTTCTTAGGCTACTTTTGCTTCTCATATGAAATTGATTTGCCGATTTTTTAGCAGAAAGTTGGGGATGGCGTTGATGGAAGCACTTTATTAGTACGCTAATTTCGAGCAACAACTTTAGTAGATCACCACTTGCCTTTGTCACTTTTTTGCAATCTCTAGGCTGGGAACTGGGAGTTGTGACAAGATAAATGATCATATGATCACGAAAATGACAACCATTTGAAGATTATCCACTGCGTTAATCCATACAGTCCAACCTTGGGCTGCGAGGCTGGGAAGTGGTGAGTTGAGCATGATAGCATGTACCTCAGATCGACAAAAGCATTTCCGTACCAGTTTGAGCCAATGCCTGTAGAAAAGGGTGAAAGTACTGTCAGAATGAGCCACAAGGATTGAACGAAGCCAACGTTTCTTTCTAAGTCAGAGCAGACGTTAGTGATTGAACATGCGCAAACACTGACTGTCTTAGCAAGCATTTCTGAATCACTTTTTTGGATGAGCGTCTTCATCTTGTGTAGCTAGATCTCACCTAATTTGCAATGATTTGTTTGAACCTTCTCCCTTTTGCACGATATGACGTTATTGCATTGTATTCAGGTAGTAAGAATACCTCAACTTTCCCTTGTTTTCAGAAAATTTCAATTAATCTATAAAGCTAAATGAATGAAGTCTTGGCACGCCGAAAACCTAATTTCATATTTGAGATTTAGCTATATTCTGCGTAGTTATTATTCTGCAGTAGAGGTTGAAGTTAGTAAAAATTGGAACTCATACCTTTAGTGTGGCTGTTTGTCCAGAAGGCAAGACATCGTTTAGGTAAAAGCTCACTCGCTCGTGAGTATGGTCATAGTCGAGCCTTTCTACGACAAATGCGTTGTCGTGCTGAAATCAACCAACAATCAAAACTCAACGTAGTAAAGTTGAGTCCTGTGATTTTCTAAGATCGCTGTAAGTAATCAACAGCGTCAGACTACATCTAAACTCGTAAAGGCAGCGTCCATCCAAAATCTATTCATCCCCAATTACTACTTGTCCTACCAGCAGGCCCTAAAAATAGACCAATGGCGTTGGTCCGGTCCCTAATGTTGCCTACAAAAGGAGGATTGGATCCTCTTTGCGCTCCATCCGCCCACGGAATGCCCGGTGACGTGTTCTGAAATGGCAAGCAACGTCGAGACGCATAATTTGTAATATGGTACTGTTGCACACGACGAAGTTTCGTGTAGCGTACGACATGATTAGGGCAGGGGCACTCGTCCACGTCTGCCAAAATAGGGCTTCAGAAAGGGGCATAGGAGCTTTTTTGTAATTTGGATCTCATACCCAAAATCAACGCCATTGAAAAGCCCGATCACTATAAAAACATGGAAGATAAAGCTTTGTGGACGCTGCCTTTAAGGTACAAAAAGTGCATTTGATTGGATGTTGCTTAGCGAGCTTCGATGCGACCTTTGCCTATAGACAAGCAAACTTCCGTGTGAAACAATTTCAGCTGGTCTGCTGCTAAGGTTCACTCGTCAAGCAAGAGCATTTGGGCCATTGTTGGAACACTCATAGGGGCCAGCTTACACAAATTTCGAAACATCGTGATATTGTACAAATGCACCTCTATCCTCAAAGTAAAATTTTTTCTAAATTCTTTTGATTTCGTGGATTCAGCTTGTCTAGGAATGCTGATCTCAAGTGCACATCACATCTCAATATTTTAAACAACTCACCGAGTAAACACTACACTTTTCTTTTTCGATGGAAATTCCTGCTTGGTTCAGGACTATAACGTTCGTTGACTCACGAACAAGCATGTTGATTCTTACTTCACCATCAACTGTCAAATTTTTCTCCTTTGGAAAATCCACATAGAATGGCAGATAAATTTTGAGAACCAGCTCGTAAGATACTAAAGATAAGTCATTGAGGGACGTGAAAGTTGTTTTGTTTGTTGAATTTGATAAATTTTGTTTGTTGCTTTCTAGGTTCCTCTGAGATAACCCGATTGGTGAGGAAATGAGATAGTCGAATTGGTGAGGAATTAGTGAAGGCTCTGGTGTCTGCCTACTATAATGTCCACCTTGCACACATCAGCAAGTTTTCACATCTCATATGGCAACCTCTAGCCACATGCGATATGTCGTTTGAAAGAAGGCGAGCTGGCACAAAAATATTCGATTTGCAAAAATCGCTTCTTTTCTGAATTTTGCGCATGTTGAACAAATCTTGAAAAGAGTAGGATCCAACAGTTTGCCAAAAAAGGATACTAACTTAGATTCGCCTTTCGAGATGACACACAGATATTTTTGAAATCAGCTTCAAACGCTGATTCCAGACATGCGGTTTCTAGCTGCTTAGCGTTATTGCGGAGAGAGTTATGGGCTTGCTGTTGCGAGTAATTAACAAACTTCTGAATGTCGTAAGAAGGCGTACTAGTAAGAATCTGCTCGAAAGAAGTGCTAGGATGTTGAACTAGCATTAATTTAATTCATTCGATCTTGAACGGGAGCGTTATACAATGGCAAAACCACCTGTCGTCGACATCGTAGCATCAGTAGGTAGAGGAGCTGCAAACTTTGCATAGAAACGAGATCATAAATCGTTTAATAACGCTATGCAGCTAGGAACAGCATATTTGGAATCAGCGTTACAAGCTGATCCCAAATATGCGTCTCATCTCAGAAGGCGAATCTAAGTTAGTTCCCTTGCGGGTGAAAAGCTTAGAGTAAATGCGAGAATTCTGATTCATACAGTGCTGGCCAAAACTATAGATCCACCCTTGCAAACTGCCATAGCTCATCTGCTTCACAAAGAATTGATCTGAAATTTGGTATAGTTGTGTGTTTAACAAGCTAATATCAGTAATCAGGACCGATCCCCGCTTTTGTTAGATAGTTCAGGAAAAAATCAAAATTTTTGAAAAAAAGCAGCCTTGAAAGCTGGCCAAAACTATAGATCCACCTAAAGTTTCTGTCCATCAAAGTAACTCTCGGCTTCCACAATCTTTGGTGCATATATACGATCAAAAGTCAAGACAGCCGATTTAGTTCAGCTGTGTCATATCTTTATTAAGCACTCTTATTTGTTTTGTTTCACTTAAAAATACTTTCACGCGTATTTTGTCACCGATAATGTGCTTTCAGAGGTGTTTCCGCAATTTTTCCAACTGATTTGAAAGCTATAGGACTCCATCTGTCTTATAGATGCTTAGCGAAGTGAGCATTGGAAAAAAATTTAAGTTTTCGTATCTAAAGCGCACCTAACATAGACCTCACAGCAAGCCTGCGCTCAAATTTTTGCCTTCAAAACTGGGTTTACGCTATTTTTGTAAGCTCTAAATGATGTGGATACATTACTTGCATAAAAAGATAGATTGTACACTTTGCTCACGATTGTTTGCGAAGTCGCACTTTGCTCTGTAAACAAGGCATAATTTTCGCGGTTCAACGATAATGTAAGGCAATAAAATACTTATCAAGTGGTGCCTTTCCTAATTTTTCGCCACTATTAAGCTGCTGAATAATGAAAACAACCTGTATTGTATGTTGCCTTCTGACTCACATGAACATTATGGTTAGAACCAAGAATAACTTTAAGGCTTGTGGCTAATCAGTTTTTGCAGGACGAATTGCTCAATTAGCCTGCATGCTAGGACATGCAAAAATTTGTAACCACTGCATACCGACCATAGGTGCGATAGGGGAAGCCGGGCCCTCTCCAGGTGAAGGGGGTCTCTGCTACTGCCATCCTTGTAAGGTGAAGGGGGTAAGTGAGCCCTAAAAGCCCTGAAAATGCCCCAACAAGTTACAACCATTCGAAAGCTGAGTCATGTAGAATCGACGTAGACCGTCGACTTTTTTCTGTGTCTTCTGTGCCACGAGATATGAGGGATTTTATGTACTGCATATTTCAACTGAGTTTTTGTCCTCACTTTCTGCTCTTCAAATGAATGCTACGAGAAAGTCAACGGTCTACGTTTGTTAATGAAGACTTGCTCTGTAACATAGAAACCAGCAGTGATTAGGTTTTCATTTGGCAGAAATCTGCTGTTGAAAATGAAAATGATTTCAGATAAAATGCAGTGTATCTCTCGGTAGAGGAGGCTAAAAAGACGATCTACGTCAAATCCCATTTTTCTGGTCTTTCGAATTGTATATAGACTCCTGGGCGAAAATACTTGCCAGTTTTTGAAAATGGGCTGGAGATGTTTACTATTAGCTTACTCCACCCAGCTTCCCCAATGTATTGGCTGTTATCGGTTACCGGAGCAAGTGCTTTTTAGAGCCGGAAGCAAAAAAGCCCTAACAGCTTCAAACTGTTCGAATTCTGAGGTCATAGAGAATCGACGTGGACCGTCTCTTTCTTTATAGCTTCTCTGTGAAGCGAGATACGAGCAATTTTATACACTTACTTACCAGCTAATTTTGTGCGATTTATTTGTGCTTCATTTTTGAAAGGAAGGAAGGATAGAAAAGAGACGGTCAACGTTTACTGGCAAGGTTTTCTCTGTGATACTGTTAGACAATCAGGCACCTTCATTCATTCTTCACGCAGAAATTTCTTGACAGAAACACGCATGTTTTTAACTAAAATGCTATGTATCTCTGGGTAGAGGGGAGCTAGAGAAAAAGAGACTGTTTATGTCGAACCCCTTTTTCGTGGGCTTTTTAATGGTGTATAGGTGGGTGGAAAAAACTTGTGGCTTTTCAAAAATGAGGTGGAGATATTCAGTACTAACTTGCTCGAATCCGCTCCGGCTTTCTATGGTTCGCCGGAGCAAGACTTTTTTGGACTGGGAAAGCTTTGTGCGCCAACAATATACCATTCGATAGCTAGGAACACGAGGAATCGACTTAGACCGTTCCTTTCTTCCTAGCTTCTCTGTGAAGCGAGATACGAGCAGTTTTATCTAGCTACGATATCAGCCAATTCTGGGTAATTATCTTTTCAAACCAAGAAGGTCTTTTTCGAACTTTTATATGTGATTTGAAAGCATGAGAAACGAGTAATCTAACTGCTCTTTTATTTGTTATTATTCTCTCTAGTGAAAAGAGATATGGTATATTTATTGTCAGCAAACATACATCCATCACTAACTAGTCCAAATTTTCTACTCTCGCTCAACTCTTTCTTGAAACATTGTATTCATTGATACAATGTCGATTATTCAAAGAATCAAACATCCTCCTAATTTTTGATTATGTTTCGTTAGCAACGCCACATTGAGCGCGCAGAAGGTCTCGAGCATGCGTTTTTTCAACAAAATGCTGTTGATTCGATAATCTCTTGCAGTCTCGATGTTCGAGAAGAAGAGCAGCTGGCGTTTCCTTTTCAAACAAAAACTGTCATTGTAACAGCTGTTTGATTCTGCCGTTATGTCTTGAATCTAGTCTCAACCTCGGGTGAAAGTGGTCAGCCAGGTACCGGCTCCAAAGTGAAGGGGGTCCGAGAAATTTCTCCACTTATCGCATCTATGGTGTGAAGTAACCACTTGCTTCTCGCATCTCTTGGTACTACAGTGGGTAGATAGTAAGGAACTTGGTGAAATAGTATGAAAAATAGTGAGGAACTTCAAAAATTTAGTACAAGCTATTCTCATTTTGCATATTAACTCAGAAAGAATTTTGAAAAAACGGAAAAGCTCAGACGTTTTAGGACTGCCTGTAGAATATGCGATAACATCGTAAGGATTGCGCATATGGCAATGAAATTTCATGCCAGTTCCGAAAGGAAGAAGAGTAGCCGAATGATGATTCCGCTCGTCGGTTGCTGCTCTATCGTAAGCAATCAAGTGAAAAGAAGAAATTCCGGCATGACCAAATACTTTACAGCATATTTTGAAGCCGTTGATCCCGAAAACAGTTCCGTGGAAATCCACCAATTCACTTCAAATCGTGTCATGCGATTTTATCAAGAAAAGAACAAGAAAGTTACTGATTACGTTCGCATATTGTGAACATAATGGAACCTGATACAACTGTGACAAGACAAATGCTGTAGAACGAAGATATTGTCACGTTGTCTGTACATATACTGTCGAGTAGATTTTCCGCTCAACATAGTGTGCTTGCACTGCAGGTGAAATGCGGTGAAATTTGGCGTAAACAAATAGCTACTCCTGTGGCGCTGGCCAATTGCGCGCGCAAAATGCCGGCATTACCGGCGTGGCTATTTGTTCACGCGCAGATTTTACAGCATTTTACCTGCAGTGCCTGCACACTATATTAAGCGAAAAATCTACTGGACTGTGAGCTGTATCAACGAGCAACGGTCATGCGATGTGCTGCGACAACTAGCGACGGTGCGGTTGACGCGAGCGAACTCTGCTACGCGTTAGGCACTACGCGTGCGACAGTGCTTCACCGCAAGACATACTAATGCAGGATCGATGACAGCTATACAGCCTATAAATTCATTTGTCCGTAAATTCGTCCCGAAAATGCAACACTTTGTGATTATCAGTGTTTTTTCTTTTATAAGAGATAAGAGAAAAGGTAGAGCGAGAGCCTTTGAAATTGTGTTCGTGGAATAGAGAAAATATATGTTTGTACTAGTGGCTTTGCGCTTGATACAGTGAGAAACTGAGTTGAAGTACCTGCATCAAGGTCATATTCAGGGTCAAGCGTGTGATGCAACTGTCGCAACGGGGGGGGGGTCGTAAAGGGGGCACCGGCGGGGGGAGGGGGGGGGGTCGTAAGAGAGGGTGGTCCAAATTAAAAAAATGTGAATATAAGCAATAAGCTTCTTAGTTGCAAACATTCTCTACTTTTCAAAAAATATCATTTTTCTCCCTGCAAAAAAGGTGTCGAATGTCGCAGACGGGAATCGAACTTGCTGGCCACAAGTACCGAAGACCAAAGACACTTTCAGAAGCTCAAACAATATTCATGCATGTGTGATAAGTGGCAA